TGCCTACTTTAGAACTGACCACACATGTCCCAAGGGCATTTCACTCCGATACTTTTGGGTTATTTTTAACCCTGCAATCTCCAGTTTTCTCAGAGATTTCGGAGTTTGAATGAACATGCACCAGTGGTTGCTGTGGTGTTCTATTTCCCACACATACTGTTTTCCATAGTGGTTGGACTAATTTACATTCTTACCAACAGTGTAGAAGGGTTTCTTTTACACCACATCCTAGCCAGCACCTGTTGTCTCTTGTCTTCTTGATGGTAGCCATTCTAATATGTGTGAGGTGGTATCTCCTTGTGGTTTTGATTTGCATTTCCCTGATGATTAGCAAGTTGAATATCTTTTTATTTGCCTGTTGGCCATTTTTAGTGTCCTCTTTGTAAAAATGTCTATTTAGTTCTTCTGTCCATTTTTTATTGATTTTTTGTTACTAAGTTGTGTTAATTCTTTATATTTTGGATATGAACTGCTAATCTGATATATATGGTTTGCAAAAATGTTCTCCCATTCTGTAAGCTTCCATTTCATTTTGCTGATTGTTTCTTTTGCTCTGTATAAGCTGTTGAGTTTGATGTAGTCCCATTCGTTGATTTTGCTTTTGTTGTTTTTTCTTTTGGTGTCATGTCCAAAAAATCATTGCTAAGACCAATACCAGTGAGTTTCTTTCCTATGTTTTCTTCTAGGAGTTTTATGGAATCAGGTCTTATGTTTAAATCTTTGATCGATTATGAGTTATTTTTTGTGAATGGTGTGAGATAGGGGTCTAATTTTATTGTTCTATGTCTTTCTCCAGTTTTCCTAGCACCATTTGTTGAAAGACTATCCTTCCACTATTGGATGTTCTTGGCTCCCTTGTCAAATATTTGATTGTAAATGCTGGGATTTAATTCTGGGCTCTCTATTCTATTCTATAGGTCTATCTATGTGCTATTTTTGTGCCAGCACCATACTGTTTTTATTACTATGGCTTTGTAATATAGTTTGAAATCAGGAAGTGCAATACCTCCAGCTTTGCTCTTTTATCTCAGGATTGCTTTGGCTATTTGGGGTCTTTGGCATCCCACATAAATTTTAGGATTGTTTCTTCTATTGCTATGAACAGTGGCTTTGGTATTTTTGAGGGGGACTGTGTTGAATCTGTAGATGGCTTTGGGTAGTATGACCATTTTAACGATACTTATCCTTCCAATCCATGAATATGGGATATCTTTCTATTTGTTTGTGTCTTCTTTGATTTCTTTCAGCAAAGTTGTAAAGTTTTCATCATATAGCTCTTTTCCTTCCTTGTCTAAATTTATTCCTAAATACTTTACTGCTTTTGATGATACTATGAATGGGATAATTTTCTTTAATTCTTTGTCCAATGCTTTATTGTTAGTGTGATGGAATGCCACTGATTTCTATAAGTTGATTTTGCAATCGGCCACTTCACTGAAATTATTAGTTCTAACAGTTTTTTGATTGACTCTTTGGGATTTTCTGTATATAAGATTATACCATCAGAAAATAGTGACAATTTTACTTCTCCCTTCCCAATTTGGAGGCCTTTTATTTTTTTGTCTTGCTTAAATACTCTAGCTAGGAATTCCAGTATTATATTGAATAGGAGCAGTGAAAGTGGCCAACTTTGTCTTATATCTGATTGCAGAGGAAACCCTTTCAATTTTTCACCATTGATTATAATGTTAGCTGTGGCTTTATCATATATGACCTTTATTATATTGAAGTATGTTCCTTCTATACCCAATCTCTTAAGGGTTTTTGTCATGAAAGGATGTTGTATTTTGTCAAATCCTTTTTCTGCATCTATTGAGATAACTATGTAATTTTTAATCTCTCTTTTTATTGATGTGATGAATTACATTTATTAATTTGCATACATTGAACCCATCCTTGCATCACAGGGATAAATCTTAACTTGGTCATGGTGTATAATCCTTTTAATGTGTTCTTGCATTTGGTTTGTTAATGTTTTGCTGAGAACTTTTTCATCTATATTCATCGGGGATAGTGGCCTATAATTTTCTTTTCTTGTGAATATTCTTATCTGGTTTTGGTATCAAGGCTTCATAGAATGAGCTGGGAATTGTTCCTTCTTTCTTGATACTTTGGAAGAGTTTGAGGAGGATTAGTATTAATTCTTCTTTAAATGTTTGGTAGAATTCACTAGTGAAGCCATCTGGCTGTGGCATTTTCTGTCTTGAGAGTTTTTAAATAACTGACTCAATCTTGACTCATTATTGGTCTATTCAGATTTTCTATTTCTTCCTGATTCAGTCTTGGTAGCTTGTGTGTTTTTAGACATGTGTGTATTTCTTCTAGGTTATGTAGTTTTTGGCATATAATTGTTCATAATAGCATCATAATTCTCTTTATTTCAGTAGGGCCGGTTGTAATGTCTCCTATTTCATTTCTAATTTTGTTTGTTTGAGTTATTTCTCTCTTTTTCTTAGTCGAGCTAAAAGTTTGTCAGCTTTGTTTATCTTTTAAAAGAACCAGGCTTTGGTTTCATTGGACCTTTCCATTGTTTTCCTGGTCTCTATTTCTTTTTTTCTTTTCTTTTTCTTTTTGAAATTTTTTATTAACATTTAATGTATTATTGGTTTCAGAGGTAAAGGTCTGTGATTCATCAGTCTTATATAGTACCCAGTGCTCATTACTTTACATGCCTTCCTTAATGTCCATCACTCAGTTACCCCATCACCCACCCCCCTCCTTTCCAGCAACCCTCAGTTTGTTTCCTGAGATTAAGAGTCTCTTATGGTTTGTATCCCTCTCTGGTTTCAATTTGTTTCATGTTTTCCTCTCTTCCCTTATGATCCTCTGTTTTGTTTCTAAAAATCCGCATACCATGAGATCATATGATAATTGTCTTTCTCTGATTTACTTATTTTGCTTAGCATACTACCCTCTAGTTCCACCCATGTCATTGCAAATGGCAAGATTTCATTTTTTTGATGGCTGCATAATATTCCATTGTAAATACATACCACATCTTCTTTATCCATTCATCTATCGATGGACATCTGGGCTCTTTCCATAGTTTGGCTATTGTGGACATTGCTGCTATAAACATTGGAGTGCAGATACCCTTTTGGATCACTACCTTTGCATCTTTGGGATAAATACCGAGTAGTGCAATTGCTGGGTCGTAGGGTAGCTCTATTTTCAACTTTTTGAGGAACCTCTATACTGGTTTTCCAGAGTGGCTGTACCAGCTTGCATTCCCACCAACAGTGTAGGAGGGTTCCCCTTTCTCATCCTCACCAACATCTGTTGTTTCCTGACTTGTTAATTTTAGCCATTCTGACTGGTGTGAGGTGGTATCTCATTGTGCATTTCGATTTGTATTTCCCTGATGCCAAGTGATGTTGAGCATTTTTTCCTGTGGCTGTTGGCTATTCATATGTCTTCTTTGGAGAAATGTCTGTTCATGTCCTCTGCCCATTTCTTGATGGGATTATTTGTTCTTTGGGTGTTGAGTTTGATAAGTTCTTTATAGATTTTGGATACTAGTCCTTTATTTGATATGTTATTTGCAAATATCTTCTCCCATTCTGTTGGTTGTCTTTTGATTTTGTTGACTGTTTCCTTTGTTGTGCAGAAGCTTTTTATCTTGATGAAGTCCCATTCGTTCATTTTTGCCTTTGTTTACTTGCCTTTGGTGATGTGTCTAGGAAGAAGTTGCTGCAGCTGAGGTTGCTGCCTGTGTTCTCCTTTAGGATTTTGATGGATTCCTGTCTCACATTTAGGTCTTTCATCCATTTTGAGTCTATTTTTGTGTATCGTGTAAGGAAATGATCCAGTTTCATTCTTCTGCATGTGACTGTCCAATTTTCCCAGCACCATTTGTTGAAGAGACTGTCTTTTTTCCATTGGACATTCTTTCCTGCTTTGTCCAAGACTAGTTGGCCATAGAGTAGAGGGTCCATTTCTGGGTTCTCTATTTTGTTCCTTTGATCTGTGTGTTTGTTTTTGTGCCAGTACCATACTGTCTTGATGATTACAGCTTTGTAATAAAGCTTGAAGTCCAGAATTGTGATGTCACCATTTCCCCCCCAAAATTCCTTTGGCTATTCAGGGTCTTTTCTGGTTCCATACAAATTATAGGAATATTTGTTCCAATTCTGTCAAAAAAGTTGATGGTATTTTGATAGGGATAGCATTGAGTGTGTAGATTGCTCTAGGTAGCATTGACATTTTAACAATATTTGTTCTTGCAATCATGAGCATGGAATGTTTTTCCATTTCTTTGTGTCTTCCTCAATTTTGTTCCTTAGTATTTTATAGTATTCTGAGTACAGATCCTTTGCCTCTATGGTTAGGTTTATTCCTAGGTATCTTATGGTTTTGGGTGCAATTGTGAATGGGATCTCCTTATTTTTTCTTTCTTCTGTCTAATTGTTAGTGTATAGAAATGCAGCTGTTTTCTGTGCATTGATTTTATATCCTGCCACATTGCTGAATTCCTGTATGAGGTCTAGCAATTTTGGGGTGCAGTCTCTTGGGTTTTCCACATAGAGTATCATGTCATCTGCAAAGAATGAGTTTGACTTCTTCTTTGCCAATTCGGATACATTTTATTTCTTTGTATTGTCCAATTGTTGAGGCTAGGACTTCTAGTATTATGTTGAACAGCAGTGGTAATAGTGGACATCCCTGCCATGTTCCTGACCTTAAAGAAAAAGCTCTCAGTTTTTCCCCATTGAGAATGATATTCACTGTGGGTTTTTCATAGATGGCTTTTATGATATTGAGATATGTCCCCTCTATCCCTGCATTGTGAAGAGTTTTAATCAAGAAAGGATGCTGTACTTTGTCAACTGTTTTTTTCTGCATCTATTGAGAGGATCATATGGTTCTTGTCTTTCTTTTATT